ACACTCCTGCCAGATCCCGAGCCAAAAACACCTAAACATAGTTGCCTCAAAATCCTGGCCAAGACCCAGATGGCCAATAAAGACCTAAAAAACTGCCCTCTTCCAAACAGCAACCTAACCTGGTTCACTGATGAGAGCAGCTTTGTCCGAGACGGACACAGGTATGCGGGGGCGGCTATAATAAATGAGCGAGGTAATCTTATCTAGGCATCACGCCTCCCACAGACGACATCTGCCCCAAAGACAAAACTGGTAGCATTAACAAAAGCCCTCCACCAGGCCCCCCCAAAAAAGCTGACTGTATACACCGACAGTCGCTATGCCTTTGGGACAGTACACATACATGGGGCTCTCTATAAAGAGAGAGCTTTCATCATGGCAGAGGGCAAAAAAAGCAAACATAACCCTAAAATACTTCAGCTGCTAAAAGCCATTTTGTTGCCAAAAGCAGTGGCAATAGTCCACATTCTGGGACCCCAAAAGGGGGATTCTCTTAAAGCCCGGAGCAACTGGGCTGCAGACACTGAGGCAAAAAGGGCTGCAAAAAACCCAACACTAATAGATATTCTATATTTGAGCTTGCCACCTCCTGGGATGGAAAAGATGCCCCCCCCCCCCACCAGATTATTCCAGCACGGATATAAACTGGGCCAAAAAAACCCTGCAGGCAACACAAAATAAAGATGGTTGGCTCCAAGATAGAGAGTACCGCCTAATAGTTTCTAAAATCTTAGAGCCACCTACTAAGACACTTGCACCAGACGACACATCTAAAAAAAAATAAAAGATGCTACAGTTGCTAGACACCGCACAAATCAGATTCAAATCACATACACACACACACAAAAAATAGCAAAAGACATTGTCCAAAACTGCCGTGTCTGCCAGGTCATGCAGCCAAAAAAGATCAAAAAAACCTATGCAGATACCAGGGAGCAAAAAAGGCAACCAAGATTATTTTAAAAAATAAACTTTACAAAAATAAGACCCCAAAAATATGGGTACAGATATTTGTTGGTCATGGTAAACACTTTCTCAGGGTAAATAAAAGCTTTTCCTACTAAAAAAAAAACAAACTGCCTTAATAATAGCAAAAAAAAAAAAAAAATTCCCAGGTACAGGCTGCCAAAAAGCATAAGATCTGACAATGGGCCAGCCTTCACAAGTCAAGTCAGCCAAGGGCTAGCCTGAGCACTGGGGGCAAATTAAAAGTTACATTGTGTATATAATCCCCAGAGCTCAGGGCAGGTAAAAAAAATAAACAAAATCCTAAAAAAAAACTTAAGTAAATTGATCCTAAAAACTGGCGGGGACTGGGTGACCCGCCTTCCCTTCGCCCTATTCCAAGCTAAAATACCCCTTACCATTTGGGCCTAACCCCCCTTTGAGATTGTGTATGGTACCCCTCTACCTGTAATCCCCAGGGTGAGCCCTGAAGCTCTCCCTAAACACCCTAAAAAGGTACTACAAGCTATACAAGCTCTGCAATGTGTTCACAGCCAAGTGTGGCCAGCCCTCTAGGCCATCTACCAGACAACTGGGCCAAAGAGCAAAAGTATTAAACACTTATATCACCATCATCAGCCAGGGGATTGGGTATAAATAAAATGGCATAAAAATAAAATCCTAAAGCCTAAATTAAAAAAAACCCTTTCAAATTATTCTTGTTACCCCCACTGCTCTTAAGGTTGACGGGGTAGCAACCTAGATCCACCACTCCCACGTGAGACCGGCTGGTAAAGACGAGCAAAAGCAACAGCAAGACGAGTACAGAGCAACAGCAGATCTCACAAATCCCTAACTTCGCTGTCCAAAATAGTGCTGCAGAACTGGAGGGGCCTAAACTAAATATTCCTCCACCAGGGGGGCTATGTGCAGCCCTAAAAAAAGAGTGCTGCTTCTATACAAACCATACTAAAATAATTAAAGAGTCCATGACAAAGGTCAAAAAGAGACTTGCCGGACAAAAATGAGAGCACGAGCAACAAAGATGGTTTAAATCGTGGTTCAACAGTTCCCTGTGGTTAACTACCATGCTATCTACTTTGTTAAAACCTATAATAGTGCTCATGCTCATCCTCACCTTTGGGCCAGGTATTCTAAATAGGTTAGTCACTGTCATAAAAAAACAAATAAATACTGTGCAATTAATAATACTGCAGCAGCAATACCAAAAGATAAGTCTTAAAAAAAACAGCTTAAAAATAAAAAAAATACAAGACCCTAAATACAAGCAAAAATGCTCATAAAAACCAAGAGAAAGGGGGGAATGTAAGATACTGGGCTATAAGGACAATGGACACCTTCCAGCTTTTGTTTACTGCTTGTTTGCTAACCGCAAGGCATTATGAGTACATTATGAGATGCACCAAAAAACAAACAAACAAACAAAAAACACCAAAAAATGCAAAAACCGGAGTCTCTCAGCTAGGACCCAGAACAGGTTAGAGCCTATCAGGGGCAGGATAAAATAAAAATCACTATGGGGGCAGATGCATAATCAGTATATAAACAATTTTGCTATAAAAAGGTCAATAGCACACAAAGGGGGGTCCCTGCCCCAAAAAAGAGGCCACTGCGCTGGCACTCTGGGGGCTCGGACCCTAGCTCGAGCTAGACAATAAAACTCCGTTTGATAATTACAGCCTCAGTAACTCTCTCTCTCTCTGTCCTGTGGCCCTGCAAATCTCAAATATAACAATATGTACCCAAGAGAAATGAAAAAAATATGTCCACAAAAAAGGCTTGCATATTCATAGCATGTTTATTCACAATAGTCCCAAACTGGAAACAATCCAAATACGGCCAACAAGGAAGGAATAAACAAATTTGTACAATATACTACTCAATAATAAATTACTACTCATAACTGATATATAGGACATGGATAAATTTCAAAACCTTATGTTGAGAGAAAGGCAGCAGACACAAGAGAGCATATACCATATGATCCCATTTCTGTGATGTTACTATTTATTGGTGATGGCAAACAGTACAGTGGTTGCCTCTGGGGTATTGGCTTGGAAGATGCACCAGTAAACTTTCTGGGGTAATGGAAATGTTTTACAGTATGATCTCACTGATGGCAACATGAGTGTTTACATTTGTCAGGATTTATCAAACTGCCTACAGATCTGTGTATCTTTATTGGATAGATTATAAGTAAAAGAAAAACTGGGGAGAAAGGTACTGATAAGTGTTCTCTTAAGCTGAGTGATGGGTACATAGGTAGTACTTTCCACCTGTAAACATAAGCTATATATGTCTCATGTATGCCAACAGCAAAATTTTTTTTTTAAAGTGAGGAAAAAAGATAGTTACCTAAAAGCTCTAGTACCAGTTGTATAATTTGAATATGGGATGCAGTATTTAAAAAAAATGCATTTAAAACCTCATCAATAGAGTTAAATAAATACGCATCATATATTCTTAGGTTCTCTAAATAATGTACCCAGTAAAGCTGAATCCTCATGTAAGCAGACTGTGTTTATCTTTAGGTTAAAAATTTTATATGCTATTTTCTCTTACGGAGATATTGTACATGTACAAAAATATTTGTAGATGTTGTATAGGATTTAATCACTGAAAAATCCAATCTTTCTAATTGTACTTTTTGCTATATTATGCTAATATTTATAATTCTAGATATTTTTAGCCATTTTGATTAATGGAATTGTTTAAACTTCATTTGCCTCAGTTGCTTCTATGAATCCTGGTTTTATTGACTGGAAATTTTGGGTGGCTATTTCTCTGGAGGCTTAAAAGAAAACTCTATTTTAGGTACAAAGACCACTTGCAAGAAGCCACTAAAAGAAAGATGAACTACAAGATATTTTAATCACTATTCACACTTTTTCCAAAGATTAATATATCTCTTGTAACACTTTTTGCCTTAAATATTTGAAAATATAAAAAATGGTGAAAATCCTTTCTTTAAACTTAAATCAGGAGGACTATGAGTTTTAAATAGTCAATTTCCTCTCTATAAAAATTTTGGTTTTTATGTGAAGAGAATATTGCCTTTTGAAAAAGAAAAATACATATCTCTGCGCTCTATTTCAGAATAACTATAATTCTTAAGTCCCATTAAAATAAGCTTCATGGGATCTTTTGAGATTTTTGCAGTTATAAAGTTTGCAGCATGTCTAATATAGGCATGCCTTGTTTTATTGTGTTCACTTTTTGTGTTTTACAGATTGAAGGCTTCTGGCAACTCTGCATCAAACAAGTCTATTTGGTGCCATTTTCCCAATAGTATTTGCTCATTTTGTTAGCAATAAAGTACTTTTAAAATTAAGATATTATACACTGTATTTTTATTTATTTTTCTTGAGACAGAGTCTTGCTCTGTTGCCCAGGCTAGAGCGCAGTGGCATCAGCCTAGCTTGCATCCACCTCAATCTCCTGGGCTCAAGCAATCCTTCTGCCTCAGCCTCCCAAGTAGCTGGGACTACAGGCACGTGCCACCATGCCTGGCTAACTTTTTCTAAATGTTTTTAGTTGTCCAATTAATTTCTTTCTATTTTTAGTAGAGATGGGGTCTTGCTCTTGCTCAGGCTGGTTTCGAACTCCTGACCTTGAGAAATCCACCCACCTCGATCTCCCAGAGTGCTAGGATTACAGGTGTGATCCACTGTGTCCGGCCTATGCTGTATTTTTAGACACAATACTATTGCACATTTAACAGACTACAGTGTAAACATCACTTTTATGTGCCCTGGGAAATAAAAAATATTTGTGACTCACTTTATCGTGATGCTCTGGAACTGAACCTGCAATATCTTTGAAGTATGCCTGCACTTAAGAATTCATTTGTGAGACCTCTTATTACTGAACAGATTTTAATTTGAAAAACTAATTCTTCAGAGGCTGTTTGTTTTCCCATGATGAATATTTCTGCAATTTTGCTAGCTGCTCAAGTAAACATTGCTGTTTGGCTTACAATCATACATGAGTGGAAAATTAAGTAAAAAACATATTTAGCACACATTTCACTCTTATTTTTTCTATAAAAATATAACTCTTTATTAAATAACATGCACAAATATCAACTAGTCATTTATTAAACAGATATGATTTAGAACAAGATTTAAAGAAATACAAATCCTTAGGTACAATTTAGTATCTTGTTCATGATATTGGAATAGTTTAAAAAGTATCACTGATTAAACTAACCATCCTTTATTTTTCTTTCAGGATCAATCCAAAACCTTTTTAGGCATATACCCCCTTCCAAGTTTTTTCTAGCATTCTAGAGCTTTGGAATACCAAAAGCCCATAGCTACTTACTTGATAATACATTTACAATGAGAGGGCATTAACTTGTCTTTTAAGTTATCATGATTAGTTTTCAGACACTTTACAAAGGAAATTTGCAGAAGCAGAATCATGGCAGAGAGGCTCCAGCTTTCTGAGGTACCATTGAAGAGTGTGAGAACTGTGATTAAGATAAAAAGCTGGGATGACTAAAATTTGCCAGATTCCTGCTTGTTTTTCTCTTCTGAAGCTTGTTCTGTTCGGCCAGTGATATTGCCCCTTTTTCTGGTTGGACCATCAGAACAAAATGCTGCATGAGCTTACCCCTCTCTGATTTTCTACAACTTCAATGCTCAATAATGCCGGTTTTTGATTTTTATGATTTGCCACACTATCCCATCAAAGTTCCTTTTTAGGCAAAAGTATAAACAAACTTTGCATTAAGTTTTTCATATTAAAAAGTATTGCTATATAAATTAGCTCTCAATGTTCCCAGCCTTAATAAACTTAACTTCAACAAAACCAGTGCTTCAAAAATCTACCCTGCCTTTCTGGCTCCATTTATCTAATAAAAAATGCCAAAATCCCCCACCTACATTTCTAAAGAAAACTACATCCAACCTTTATAATAAAGTCCTTGCACTGTGTATTTTTTTTACACGTGCTGCTTTATTGCGCATGCCAAGTACAGTAAGAATTAAAATATAAATCGATGTAAAAATTCAAAAATCCCTAAGCTTAATATGTACCTTTGCACTCAAAAACTTTTACATTCTCTCCCATTAGCTGGGATTTCCAACTTGCAAACTAAATTTAAATCACTTCATTCCCATATAGTTGCTTTGCTTTTCTCTAGCAAATAGAAAACATTCAGAATTATTTTTAATTCAAGAAAGTATTGTGGAAAGTTTTGTAAATTTTACCTCATATACACTTATGAATTTTACACTGACCTAATTTTCTTTTCAAAAATGTTTAATTAAGTTCAGCAGCAGGTTTCAGATCTGAAAAATTCCTGAATATTTAGTTTATATCACGTTATAGGAGAAACTGGACTTTTTTCTAAGGATATTGCTGATTTTTAAAATTATAAAACGGCATACCAAATCTTATTTCAATTATAAAATTTTGTAAATTAAATTTTACATCTTGATACGATGAAAAAAACACAACATATTAATCAATTTCTCATAAACGCTTCTGAGATCGACGGGAATATTCCTAAATTTCTTTTACTTATTTTGATGACCAAATATCTTTTTGATTTATGTATTGTTTTTATTTTAAAAGTGCAAAGGTTATTAAGCTTAAAACATTAAATTTAAGCAATGTAAAAAAGTTTTACAATGATTTAACATGACCAATAAAATTTATTAAACATATTTACATATATTCACAGATACTTTCATAGTTGAGTATTAAAATAGACATTTACAATTTCAGAATTTTCATTCAAAGGCAATTTTTTTTTCCAGGAGAAAACAGGCTCTACTGTAAGATGAATAAAGAGCTAAGTTTCTTTGTATGACTAATGTTAAATAAGATGTTCAACACAGTAAGTCACAGGTTCTATCACAGGAGACTAGTATGAAACGTCTTACACTGTTCCAGGCATCCATTATGGAGAGAGTTAAATTATAGGAAGCATGCAATACAACTAAGTCACAATCTTTACAGTTATGGTGATGAAAACAAGCTAACTCAAACACATGCATGCCTTATTTAAAAATTTTGCTACCTGAACACACTATTACTACACTCCACACAAACTACAACTTTGGTCCGATAAAACATTAGACAAAACAGTTTTATAGCTTTTTTTGTACATGTTTTGACTACCAATCCCTTTGTATACGTTTTGACCATTAATTACAAGATTTACATCTGCACAATATGTATAAAATAAGTTATTAAAAAGGAAGACAATATTAAAACTTTCAAAAGAAAACTGTACAATTAATTTACAGATATAATAAACTGAAGAAATTTGTGCCAAGTTTTCCTTCCACATTGGAAACTATTTGGTAGGAATTGAACCTTTTAGTTTACTGATATATTTTCAATAAAACCTGAAAGAGATCTGAATACTAGTGGTTATCTCATTACTTAGAGTGCTAACAACTTCCAGCGCTGTAAGACTCTCAACTTTTTAAATACCTCCCATAGTCTGCCAACGTGCTCTAATGCAATTGTTACCTTTCACCAATATAAATAACAGTTTTCTGACAGAAACTGTGTTTGGATCTAAGACCCAAAATAATCCTCTTCACTTTTTATAAAATGACAGTGTTTACTACATACCCCAACTTTAATCGAACTTTTATGAACAATTATAAAAGCATACCATCAGTATTTTTGTCAAAAGGCAGTGTTCCACAGTATAATGCCTGAGTGTCATCAGTTTAGGATGACACCATCAGGAAGTAATGACTGCTATATAGGAGTCAATTCAAAGTCATCATTAACATCAACAAGGGGAACATAAAATTCCTGGATTTCATAAATGCTGATAGATTTATAGGTGGCAGGATCAAGTTCCTGGAGCTTGAGTTGCCATTCTAATCTCTGGACAGCATTTAAAGCCGCAGCCTCATGTTGTTGCCTCATTAGAAGACAGGTCTATTTAAAAGAAGAGAAGAGTTAACTGGTTATTTTGTTAAATCTGCTTTTAAAATTAATCTCATCTATAGTTTCTTTGGGGACTCAGATAGATATATCATGAGATGGGTTTGAATTATGAATCCATTTATGTTTTACTCTTTATGTACCTACATGTGGATTATTTCTGGGTCTATCAGTTCACTTTCATCTTTAAGGCTTTAATTTGAAAATATTCTTTCAAATTATGAGACTTCAAATTATCAGAGGAATCATGAAAATCCAGGGAGAGATGATTTTTGAAATGATCAAAATCTCAAATAAAATACTTTATAAATTTACGAAATATATTTCTTCTTGTACTGTTCTCCTATTCTCTCATATGACAGAGCTATGAGGAGACAGGTACACAAACACCCACATTGGAAACTACTTCTTTTGTGGCAGTTCCATCTTTTACACTACCTTACTCTTTAAAATAGACTTGTGGTCTTTATTTCCCTTTATCTTTCCAATTGTGGGCTAGCGTGGGGATTCATGACTAACCAGTATTTCCCTTCCTAATTATTTCTCCCTGATGGAGCTGCACTTTCTGTTTAAGAAAGGGGAGGCATTCCTTTAAAGCTTACTTCTAAACATACATACCTTTAATTTGTCAAATTTATCATCCACATCTTGTAACCAAGACATGAATTGTCTTGCATTAAAACGATCCCTCACAGAAGTTTTACTGTCATCAGACTAAAAGAGAACATTAAAAGTAGTTGAGTATTATACAATAAATCACTTTAAAAATCTATGTCATTATATTTTTATAGTATATGCCTTTTTTAGTAATAAAATATATATCAAAAAAGATAAAAAATTGAATACTGTTAAAATTTGATAAAGCTTTTATTTCCATATTGAGTAGATAGATTAGTTATTAGAATTCTCAGGATGCTGGATTTAGTTGTTAACTAAATAGAATTCTACTGCTAAGTCCAAAATATTGTTCAAAAAAGCACATCACATGAAGTACTGTGCCTGTGACAGACATTCTTATTACAGTTTAATCAATTTCAGCTTTAATTTCAATGTTAAAGTTTACTATAGGGAGGGGGAGAAAAAGTGTCCAGGTGGGAGACAGCTGCCTTTGAAGCCAACATTTTTTCCAGGACCAATGTTTGCAGTGCTCATAAAGAAATTCTGTATTAACTCTTAAGAGTACCAGTTTTGGAATTGAGATAGGATATCTTCAGTTTTCAGCTCTGTTAGCTGTGTAATCTAGAACTTATCATATACTCTCAATTTTCTACTCTACAAAATAGGACTAGGGGTACCTTTCTCAAGCTTGTTTTGAGAATTGAGAGTGTTTCTAAAGCCCTAATCACAATGCATGGGTATACAGGAAGCACTCATTCCAGCACTCACTCACTCTAATTACTACTGCTGCTGCTATTACCAGCAACGCTATCCAAATGGCATCCAGGCATCAGGCAGCCCGACAATCACATTCTCATAGCTTTTAGCAGCTATCATTTCATCCTTGGTCTTCAAGTAAGATGTTTTGACCATTTTAAATTTTATTGTTGAGTTTTTTAATATTACAAGTTTATTTTGCAAAGGAAGTAGTGAGAAGAGACTAGGCTAATGGATGATCCAGGCCCCTATCCAAGAAAAGGTAGACATTTTCCCCCACTTCATTCCACACAGGCTGTTCCCATAGACTTTCTATAGAAGCCAGCTATAAAAGGGCAGGTAACAGTTCCATATTTAAGTCCTCCAAAATGCAGAAATATTTCTAGGATAAGTTTCTCCGTTAAGAGAATAAGCCTCACATTTTGGTATCTCATTAAGTTAAATTTTTTTTCCCATGTCAGGCCAGATGGGTAATGTGCCAGTGTGGTAACAAGGTTTGACAGAGACAAATCTCAAATAGTAGTGTGAAAACACAATTTTCATTCTTATGAACCACAAAAGGATCTCATCAAACTTAATCTGAGTTTAAAATCAGGTGGCCTGGATCACTGAGAAAATTTGGATTATGGTACAATAAATTACTCAAATTATCAAAATCCCTGTATAATAGAAAATTCATATCATTTACTTTTAGGAGAGAACAAAGAAAAGTCTCAGGTAGAAATCCAAGAAAACTAAATACAGACTAAAGCAATAATTTCTTCAGCTTGATATAAAAAGCATTTTTCCTTCAGAGAAATATTAAGTTTTTCAGCCCTTTAATTATTAAGCTTATTGTGGCAAGATCTTTTTAGTCTCTGATTTTGGGATGGATTCTGAGGGTTTACGGGCAAAATTCACTTATTTTGAAATTTTCTTTTTAACCTGTATGAGGCTGCTGAGCATTTCTCAGCTCTGCTGTATTTCATTACCAATATGCTTTCATTTGTTTTATATCTTATCAGAAATGCCTTAGCACTTTGGTTTAGCAGTTTCCCACCTCAATTTCTAGCCCTGTTATGGATTTATTTTTATATGTCTTTTGTCATTTCAATGACTTTTGGGAGGAAGAGGAAATAAACAGGTGTGTGTGTTTACTCAACCATCCTGAACTAGAATTCTTCAAGAGACTTTTCCTTGTAGCTTAATTATAAAGCTTCATTTATATTGCTCTAAAATTGATTTCATTACTAATTGCTCAAAACTTTAAAAAAACCTGAAGATACAACATGGTCTAGTCTAGCCTCTAGCAAAATGGTTGAACTGTTCATTTCAGTTATTAAAAACCACCCGTTTTTCCCTTTAAAAATCTTTACATTGGAAAGTTCTAAAAAGTCCCTCAGTGGCCTCTCCAGTGTCTATTTCCATAGTCCAACAGTTCTTTCTTAAGATCCAATTATATGTTTTAACATTCTCTTCAGATATTTCTGAAGAAATAAAACAGCTGGTGCCTGAGAGTTTGAAATCCACTTATTTAATTCAATCTGTTTTTACAGTGGAGAAAAATAAAGCCCAGAGGGGGCTAAGAATCTTTCTCTGTAACATTCCCTATTATCCTTTGTATTACTAGTTTGTCTGCTTTAAAAATACATTTCCTAGTCTGTTCTTGAGTGATAATGGTTCACTGTGTTTACATTTTTAAAATTTTAATCATTATATTCTTTCGCTTCTCATTGATGAATTTATTCTAGTTTACAAGGCATAAAAAACTTCTCACAACTGATATGACTGGTTCTGAACTCATGTAATTTTATGTGGCAATAAACTTTATTAAAGATACTGCTCTAGTCTTTCATGATTAATGTATTCCACCAAGATTCAACAACAAAACAGGAGCCTGGCCCTGTTTTAGTACTATCACAATGTATAGGTGCCATCTGCCTGTACTGATTTTCAGCATACGATAGCTTTTCAGCAGCTTGAGGACAGAATTAAATGTAAAAACATCTACTTTAGAAACAAATTACATATTATCTGTAAGGGCACTATCCTAAACACATTTCTATGTGGTGATTATCTACTTCCATAATATAAATCTAAATGTTTATAGAGTGCTTTAGAAAACAGAAGACCAGTTGATCTGGAAGTACTTTGGTCAGAAAGAGTTGCTTTCTCCTTTGAGCTTTAATAACTATTGAATTCAAGTTTCTTCTACGGAATACATTCTAAAAATAACCAAATTTTACTTTGAGAGCATTTATTCTAAATGTATCAATGAAAATTTTACCTGAGAGTCCAATGGTACATTGTATACTTCTGCATCTAGTAAAACAGTACAAGCACTAAATGGCAGTGTTTGATTTGCCAATGTTCTTGCAGCTCTGTAATGAACTCGTAGAACTTCCTGTTCATTGGATACAATGAGTTTTTCCTAGGTGAACAAAACATAAAAAAAATAAAATCAATCCTCAACAAATTGTTTTTGAAATAAGGAAAAAAATCACTTTAAATACGTTAAAAATCCCTGAATCTGAGTAGCTTTTTGTTCACAGCAGGCTTGAAAAATTTGAGGACTCTTTAGTGTTCCAAAAGTACAAATTTTCTTTCTAAAACTGGCAGTTTCTGCCTGGGCTAGAGTACAGTGGTGTCATTGTAGCTCACAGCAACCTCAAACTCCTGGGCTCAAGCAATCCTCCTGTCTCAGCCTCCTGAGTAGCTGGGAACATAGGCGCACACCATCACGCCCAGCTAGTTTTTCTTTTTTAGTAGAGACTAGGTCTCACCCTTGCTCAGGCTAGTCTTGAATTCCCGAGCTCAAGCAATCTTCCTATGTTGGCCTCCTAAAGTGCTACAATTATAGGTGTATGCCACTGCACCCAGCCTAAAATTATTTTTTAAAGTACAATGGTAGCTTTTAGTATATTTACTAAGATGTTCAACCATCACTATTTCCTGAACATTTTTATCACTCCAAAAAGAAACTCTGTACTCAATAGCAGTGACTGCCCATTACCCCATCCTCCACTGCCTCATCTACCTTTTGTGTCTATGAATTATCTATGCTAAACACTTAATATAAATGGAATCATACGATATGTGGTGTTTTGTGATTGGCTTCTTTCACTTAGTATAATGTTTTCAAGGTTCATCAAAGTTGTAGCATGCATCAGTACTTTACTCCATGTTAGGGTTAAATAATATTCCACAATGTGGATATACCACATTTTATTTATCCATTCATCAGTTGATGCTGCAGTTTCTAACCCCTATGCTGCAGACTGGAACCGGTCTGTGGTCTGTTACAAACTGAGCCACAGAGCTCTACTTCCCCTATCACTGGCCTGTGGAAAAATCGTCTTCCATAAAAGTTAGAAACCGGGCTGCAAAGCAGGAGGTGAGAGTAGTGGGTGAGCTAGTAAAGCTTCATCTGTATGTACAGCTGCTGAATCACCACTGGAGCCCCCCCCCCCCCCCCATGGAAAAATTGTCTTCCATGAAATTGGTCCCTGGTGCCAAAAAGGTTGGGGACTGCTGAGTTGATGGATATTTGGGCTTGAAGGGTGGCAAAAAATACCACCTCAAAATATGCCACTTTGGAATAAGGATTATTTTGAGCAAAAAGATATTTGAAAGGCAACAGTGCTCTGACCTCCCCCTTTCTTTGTGAAAGCAGGAGATAAAACCCATGTGAAAGATGCCCTCCTGATACCAGGAGGAAACAGTCATATCACCAGAGATAGGGACTTGAGGCCAAGAAAATTCTGTACAGACTTGTTAAAATAACTTTCATCTTCCTTTAGCCTCCCCGTATATTTTAGTTACTTTTCCACAGTTGCTCTTGTTTCTTCATCCTAGCATGAAAGCATTTAGGTCTTGCTACTTCTTTGGGTATTTCCTTATGAGAACTCCTGGCACATAAAACTTGTATCTGTATATTTTTCTTCTGTTAATCTGTCTTACATCAATTTAATTTTCTAGCCCAGACAGAGATCTTAAGATGGTAGAAGGACTTTTCCTCCCCTCCAAGTTGTTGCCACTTTTATAAAAAATGCTGCTATAAACATTCACATTCAAGTTTTTGTATGTTTTCATTTCTCTTGGGTAAGTTAACTAGGAGTAGAACTGCTGGGTCATATGGTAACTGTTTAACTTGTTGAAGTAAGTGTTAAACAGTTTTCCAAAGCAGCTGTATCATTTTACATTTCCACCAGCAAATGTATGAAGGTTCCAATTTCTTTACATCCTAGCCAACACTTGTTATTATCTATCCTTCTGATTATAGCTATTCTAATGGGTGTGAAGTAGCGACCCCTTGGCATGGCAGCTTCTCTTTCATGAGTATTTTCATAGAAATAAACATACTGTATGCTGACACCGACTACTTGTAAACCTCTAACAATCAATAAAATCCTACCTTAATATATTAAGTGAAGTCCAAAACTTCCAATTATGTAATACGCAGAGTCACTGTACCATAAGGTTAATAAAATGATCTAGGCAATCTTCTGTACTTAGCAAACTGGGAATTCCTGGAGTCCAGCCAGCTACAGATCCCAACCCATCCTGACCTAAAGACTACATACAGACTTGTGCCATCTGGTGGTAACTATATTCTTTGGCCTAAACATCAATAGAGATAACCTGGGGTGATTAGAACTTCAAGGACAGAGGTAATAAAGACTCCAAGAACTCCCCAGTTGTATAACATTCATCATTTGCTGGCTCTGTCTGGGAGGCCAGGCTGGGAGAATACAAAGGATGTGTCTAGTCTTCTCCTCCCAAACCCAACTATGTTCCCCATTGTCTCTTCAACTCACAAAAACTTTAGTCTTTCCCCGCTGGAGAATGCAGGAATGCAGGTAACATATCTAAATACACATTACTGCAGAGTTTTACTGTTTTATAATTTAGTTAAAAAACATAGACACATGGTCCTAACTAACTTCTTAGGTCTTATGTGACAAATGATAAACAGGTAAGTCTAACATTTATGATTAAGTACAATTTACAGTGCAACCTGAAGTAATAAATATCTAAAAACTTGATCCAAAGAAAACACAGCTAGAAGTGTTTTCCTAATAAGTTGGTTGTAGTCCTGTAGAGATTAAGAGCAATAACCAAAAATCTCTCCAAAGCAAACAGTGTGAGAAATGTATTTTCTAAAGTCAGATCCTCCCTCTCCTCAAATAATACAGATATGTTGCTTAATTGATAGTCCAAATATTCCACTTTAGATTAACATTCTTAATTTTGTGTCTTTGAACCCCTAGAGCAGAGCCTCTCAATGTCTTATGGAGATAAGTTATAGGTATGCCAAAGTATTGCTTTCTCTTAGTTTTTGGGGTGAAAGAGTAGAATATGGGGCAGTTCTGAGGAAATGAGTCAGGGGCTGCAAGCCTTGTTCAATCATTTAATATAGCATTCAAATGTTATGTTTTGTGGGGAAAATGACCCTTAAACAGGGGTTCTTGGGAGTCCTCATACCCCCCAAAAGCCTATGGGATAGAATGAAGGAAGGGTAGTCTGTGAACATGGATTGGAAAAAGTTCTAGCTTTATTTTCACTAACCTTCAAATGGCATTCTTTCAACTATGAATGTGTCCACAAACCACAAAGGAATTAGATGTTATCTGCAATTTCATCATCCATAGAAATGACAAATATTTCCAAATTTAAATTATAGTTTCTACAGAGATACCCCCAAATTTTATATTTATTTCAAAACTCCAGTAGTTATTAGATCTGCTGCTCTATGACATGACTACAGTTCTGTGTAGAAACACTTGTGCAACACAACTGGCAAAGGATCAAGCAATTCTGCAGCTAGTAACTATTCAGCCACCAACTGGTAAAGTTTTTTGTTCAGACATTGGTCAGACGTTTAAGTTAAGATGTTTAAGTTGCTAATATGCTGCAATTCTAATTGTTTATTGGTCAATATGTGGAAGGTATTATGTCATTTCGCTATTTGTTACAGTTCTGCAAATTGCGCAGTTCGAATAAGAATTTTTAACTGTAAGGTGGTATGGCTTTCTGTAACCTGGATAGGTGCACAGGTGAATATATATCAGGTGGCTTCAAACATGTGTGATGGTTGAAATAGCAATTGGTGAGCTTACTACCTAACTTCTCATTGCTACCAAATTACTCATTGACAGGGAGTCATGCATAGTGTTGTTAAGTTCTGTATTTCTGTATCAGCTCTTCTTTCTTTTGTTACTTCTTTTTGTAATCCTATGAACTTTATTCATTTAAAAATATTTTGAAAAGAGGTTCCAAATTTCCCAGATTGTTACAAGAGTCCATAGAACAAAAAAAGTTAAGAACCTCTGCCAGGGTATCTATCAATCATGCATGAGTTAAATTACATACAAGAGTTTATTTGCAAATGAGTAGATACATATTTCTGTGATGAAGGATCATAGCTTACATCACATTTTCAGAGATCCTTGACCCTCCCAAAAGATAAAATAAGTGTTTTTATAAATCCAAGTAAAATAACCTTTACAATTTCAATATAGGTTTTTCCTCCTGTCATTTCATGCCAAAACTAACCAATGGAAATCAGATACTACAGCAGACCTATAAGGACACATAACCACAGCCTTTATAAGCATTTTGCACTTTAGTCCTAAAATAACTGATTCTAAGCAATGCCTCCGAAACTTGGAAATCCAAATATCCTAGGAATCTACTGCTATTAGTTCTACAAATTCAACAAATGATAAGAAATTATTAGAGTCTTTTATATACTGAAAATATAATCAATATGAATTAAATATGGGAGTAGCTATCCTAAAATAGCTTTAAAATTTCTCTACAGCTGCTCGTTCTCAAAAAAAAAAGAAAAAAGAAAAAGGTTGTAATTAAAAATAAAATAAAAATATAATTCTCCACCTAAATTTGGATAAGCACAAGATAACAAAATCAAACCATTTCCTCAAATGGTTCTAAATAAGGAAAATCCACTAATAATAAACTGTAGGCCATTTAAATTTATTGTTAAAATAATTTTTTGTTACCATAAAGGTAAATTTAAACATTTCTTACCCTTTCAATACTGTGTTGCAAACGTAGTTTCATCCTTACAACTTCCTGTTGCCGAAAAAGCTCTTTAAGTGGATCTGACAGTGAAGGTGGTGGTGTAATCTAATTTTAAAAACATAATTAAAAATATTAGGATTTATTTACAGTAATGGGCTACTCTTTTAAAATTAACCCCTTTTAGTGCATAACTTAAATTTTGATGATCTGTGATTTAAAAAATACAGTACTAATCATACAACTGGTTGTTACTTCTCCATCCATTCTGTTTGAAACAGCAGGGTATTCCACAATCTTAGATGTTTTGATTCTGAGGTCATAGTAAATTTAAAAGAGCAAATTAGAAGGACTTAGAAAGTTACTTACTATGGAAAGACACATTTTAGAGCATCAGTAAGTGATAGCTCACAGACAGGGAGGGAGGAGTCACAAAAACAGAAAAGCTGGTACAAACATGAAGGAAATACTTAAAAAGATTACAGCAGTCTGTGTACTGGTATGGTAAGTGAAGTCTCTTTGCAGACATGATAAAAATCAAATTGATAAAGTCCTCAGTGTTAAATCAAATGAAATGTCTTTTATAAAAGTAGATAAAATGGCCTATTTGTGGTTTTCAAAATTTTTTATTACATGTGACATCCTATATAACTTTTGTCTATTCATACTCCAAAAAGCTTACAGTTCATCTCTAATTTGATATTATAGTGGACTGTGCTTTCTGGTAGATGCCGGAGGTTAACGAAACTCATTCAATGTATGCCTGCACTCCCATTAACATAGAGACATCCAAGAAATGTCAATAACCATCTGTGACCTCTGAATAGTCTTCCTCTACCTCTGAGTATCTATTTAATATATTTCCCCCTCTTATCATTGCTTGCAATTACTGTCAGTATATCAGGGCAAAGTTAAGATAGCTCAGTATGTTTTGGCACAGTACAACTTACTTGACTTCTAACAGTTTAACTGTCAACTCCGTATGAAAGTGGGACAACTGGGTATATTATCTGCTTCCTGGTACGGTGCCACAGGAATCATACACCACCATATATGAGAAGCTCTTGCCAAAAATCAAACCTGGATCTATCAAGATTCTATAATCAACATACGGTTTACAAGGATTATGGGGGACTGAAAAACGTGTTAAATAACATCACACAGATTAAATCAGTTGAATCAGAATGTGGAGAATTCTACAGGACAAATAACTTACTGGGCTGATAATTTTTTAAGGCCTCTAATTTCAATACATGATTTTCATTTCTGTGTCCTGCCAACTGCTTTAAATTTAATTTGGTGCTATTGTTTCAGTTTTGCAAAATCATACAGGCCTCTAGTTATTTCAAGGAGTGTAGAGGAAGAGTATCTACTCATCTGAGATTGGAGTGCCAGAGAAAGCTCGAGAGGGTAGTGCCTGAGCTGTGCCTCAAAGGAAGTGCCGGAGTATAGAGTTAGAAATGAATCACTGTCAGGGGAAAAAAAGAAAGGCTATGAAGGGAAAGAGCTAATTTCTAGAAGAGAGGATAACAGAATCAAAGGCATAAAACAAAGAAAACAGTACAGTATCCACAGGCAACTACTACAAGCAGTCCTGAGTTCCTGGAACATCAAATTTGACAAAAGAAATGGTGAAATGAGGATGGAGAGATCAGCAGGGGTGGAGTAATGGAAGCTGTAGTCTATTCTGTAAAGGAACTTTAAAGTTGGCTCCATAGAACAAAGAGCCCATAGAGAAAATTTACAGGAAATGGTGCCAAGAATAAATTTGGGAAACACTGTGTACCTGTACACACGCATCCACCTTGGAGTCTCACAATTAAAACACATTAAAGGTTCTGAGAAGTCCTGTGGTGAAGCAACCTATTTTTAGATTCATAGTGTTTCCCAAAGTTATCTGACATGAAAGCCTCCCCCCACCAAAGGTAATTAATTAACCCTTTGTAGAAGAGATATTAAATAGAACATATGTAATGGGGTGCCACTGGAAGGTCTTACAGCTTGCTGTTGTGTCAGGAAAACAGATACTAGGAGTCAAGGTTGTAGGAAAGGAATTGAGGAAGCAAATCATTGTTAAGGTGGTGGTAGATGGAGGAGGGAGTGAAGAGCCAGGCTTTTGGTTAAGTTCAGTTTAGTGCTGACATGCTGAGTTTGTGAAGCCTATGAACATTCAGGTAAAGCCAAAAAGAAGACAAGGAGAGAGACATGGGCAGAATATAAAAATGTGGGCATTAACAACATTTATCACATATAGAGGAGAGATAAAAATCACCAAAGGGATACATGGAGGCTTTCTGAGAAAACTTGCCCTTTGCTGTTTTCCTCATCTACCTTTAAGCAAATCATGCTTGGCGATTTTATCTTTCAGTATCTGTGAGTCCCAGGAGCCTCAAGAATACTCTGACAGCCTCCTACTAGTGCACTTTCCTTTTATCACTCACTCTTGAAATTCCTCCAAGATTTCTGTAGGGTGTGTTCTTACTAGTGGTCACAGTAGACTACATGTTGTGACAAGTCTCTTTTTGGTCCTCATTCATTTGATTTTGGGAATGCTGACCTGTAGTTTTTTTTTTTTTTACTTTGATTTCCTCTTGAAAAATGGCAGCATCCTGGTTAAACTGTGAGAAAAGTATTTAATGGAAGAATAAACACTTAGATGGATTCTGGGGACATCTTACCACATTTCTAATGGGTCTTATAACCAGATCACATAAATATGACTAAATGTCATTTTGACAAAATGGGATAAGGCCGTATTGGAAAGTAAGAAAAAGAATGTAGCGCTTAACCACTTTGGTACGAGTGTCGACTACAGTTGATAGCCACAGATGAACGCCCACAGCCAAACGTCAACTTTAGCTGACAGCCATGATTTGACTTTTCTAATTTTTCATGTATCAAAATTATGAACATTTAAAAATAATGTAATGAAAACATATATGTATATGTTACCTATTCTGATTTACATTACAAGTAAAGCTGCCTGTAAAGTAAAACAAGCTTTCAGTGCTTTAAAGCTTTCCTCATCACACAAGAGCAAAATGGATTCGTTGTCAATGCACAGCACAAACTATTGTGCGGACTATGAGTGGCAGCTGTGGGCAAGGTTTCCCAGCTGGTGAGCGCCGTACTGAAGTGGTTTGGTAATTTTTGTTATTCTGGTCTTGATTATTTTTTCAAACTAAATTTTGAACAAATGAATTTTAGTTCAGTAAACTCAAACACATAGCCTTTCATGAACAAAAGGCTAGAGTACATATGTTAGTTCTAATAAATACAAATCTTAAAGTCATTTGGAGCTAGGTTTAAGATAACGGTAACTCCTTAAAACTATATAGTTTAAAAAAGTTTAAATGGGCTTTGGCATATACTATTTCAACCTGCTTTGATGTAGGGTAGATATTCTTGTTTTGTAGATGTGGAAACTAAACATCAGAAATGTGAAGTAAATTATTCAAGATCACACAGCTGGTTTATAGCAAAATCTAGACTTGAACTCATGTGTGCTAATTAGAAATCCACTGCTCTTTCTACTATATTGTGCTGTGTTTTCTACTTTAATACTTCTCATTTAAACACAAAAATTAAAAAAAAATTCATCCAGGCTGGGCACAGTGGCTCACGCCTATAATCCTAGCACTCTGGGAGGCCTAAGTGGGAGGACTGCTTGAGCTTAAGAGTTTGAGAGCAGCCTGAGCAAGAGCAAGACCCTGTCACTAAAAAAACCAAAAAAACAAAACTCATCCAGAAAAATTTCTCAGCTCTGCTTATAGTCCCTTCTGGAACAACAACTAAATACTAATATAATCAAAGACATATCCCCAGAATTGCTTCAAGGGAATCAAACTTGTATTAGATTATCTTTGCAGGAATGAGAAAAGGTGACAGAGTATACACATAACATCTACATGTATGTGTGTATATAATACATACACATGCACAATATATAATAAATCCAAACATATATATGAAGCCAACAGATTGCATTAAGGCAGCAACCTAACATGGTTTATTTCAAATTGTTTTTACTGAAACAGTTTGTACAAAGTTCTAATTTAAATATCTTTATAGTTATATCTATATTTCAAGCCTATATTACATATTATCTCAGTTAAAATTTTTTACCCTTTTAGGAGAAATAAAGTTGGGGAATAAAAGAAACAACTAAGTTACTAGTTTTATATTCTTTGAATCATTAACAAATGATTTTGCTGAAAGAGTCTATCAATGACATTTATTTACAACTCTTATTTTTTGAAACAGGGTCTTGCTCCATCTCCCGGGCTAGAGTGCAGTGGTGTCATCACACCTCACCACAATCTCAAATTCCTGGGCTCAAGTGATCCTCCTGCCTCAGCTTCCACAGTAGCTGGGACTATAGGCACATACCATCATGCCTGGCTAATTCTTCCCCCTTTTTTGCAGAGATGGGGGTCTCATTCTTGTTCAGGCTGGTCTCGAACTCCTGACCTCAAGCAATCCTCCCACCTCAGCCTCCCAAAGTGCTAAGATTACAGGTGTGAGCGAGCCACTGTGCCTGGCCCACAGCTCCTGTTTTTTTTTTCGAGACAGAGTCTCACTCTGTTGCCCAGGTTAGAGTGCTGTGGTGTCAGCCTAGCTCCCAGCTCAAGGTTGAATCTTGGGTTTCCAGTCAGGGGAAATTCAACAGCTGATAATTAAAGCAGAGGTCAAAAAGAGCATTTTTGAGATAAACTGGTTTGGTATTGGACATAATGATTTTAAGGATCTTTAGGGACACTCAGGAGATACCCAGAAGCAGCTAGAAATGTGGTTATGGACATCCATCAGTAGTACATTCTGGGCTGAAGATGAATTTGGGACTCATTCTGTAAGAGATAAATCGTGTCCTATCCCTTAATCAGATTACAGCTCAGAAGTGGAGGCAGACATGTAAACGATTTACTATGAGATTACCGGGGAGGCATAAGGAAGACACAAGCTATTCTCCTAGGAAAAGATTTCCCACAGAGGTGACATCACAGCTGGAACAAAGGCATGGCAAAGAACAGAGAAGGGGATGGAGAGAACATTTCAGGCAGAGAGAACATCACTGCCAAGGCACCAAGAGAGTGAAGATAAGATTTCTGTAGAAGAGTAAGTTTGGTCTGGCTGAGATACTTGGTGAGTTTGGCAGCAGCAGTGAGAAAACGAAGCTGGAGAGGTACTCTGGGGTCAGATTGTGAAATGTGTTAGTATGCAAAGCTTACAATTTGGATTTTAAGCTGTAGGCAATGGGAAGCCAGTTAATAACAGTTTAGGTATTTAAATAGGAAAATGGCTTTTTATTACTTTTAAAAGAATAGAATTTAACAACAAAAAGTCTCCAGTAGGAGACTCAAAGTATAAAGAAAAGTTGCTGCAATGATCTAAGTGAGAGATAATAAAGGTCCTCACACAAGATAGTGGTAGACTGTACAGTTTTTGGAGTTGTGAAGCTGAGTGGTTAGAATTTGGTGACTGCTCATTTACTACTTCAGTGTCATTACCAATGAATACAGATTTGGTTTAGAGGAAGTGAGGGGTAAATAATTCCTTTTGGTGTATGTTAAGTTTGAGATCTTAGTGCAGGAATGAGGCACTCATCTCCCAGTTTCTGGGAGTGTTGGTGGCTAACATCTTTCATTGGAGTCCCTCTCCAATTACCTTTCAGGGAAGAGCACTGGTGTGCCCAAAGGCATGATCCCTGAGGGTAGAGCCCCTATCAGAAGAGACATCTTACTCCAAAGTTCTTGGTTCAGCTGAGGTCACTGCATTTCAGTTCAACTTCTCACTCTGCCCAATTCTGCTTGTCTCACACAATTACGTATTCCTGTTAAAACTCACCAATAAATTTCTTACACACAATCTCAGTATCTACTTCCTGGAGAACCCAATTTATGACAAGGTGTTTGAAGGACATTTAGGTAATGATGCTCAGAAGGAAACTTTATTTAATTCTGGAGGTCAACAAAAATGATATGGCTAAGTAATAATTTCTGGGCCTTAATTGGCATCTGAAGACTGCTGAAATCATAGAGACAGGTAATCTCCACATCTGGAGAGCACATAAAGCAAAAAGTCAACTGGAAAATGGATCACAAGAGAACTCATGTTTAATGGGTGAGCAGAGAAAAGGAGTCATTAAAAGAGATAAAAAAAAAAAAAAAGATTAGGTAGTGAAGCACAGGAACCAGAAAAGACCATTATGAAAGACCAGGGAGGGGAAGATAAGTGGTCACAATGTCAAATCTGACAGATTAAACAGAAAGAAAAATGAAAACAGGCCAATGAGTCTGGCAATTAAGGGTTCAATGGTGTTCTCTGCCAGTGCGTGATGGTTAAGAAATGAATAGGAAATGAGAAAGAGAAAACACAGTGCACATACTCCTCTCCAAAAACATGTCAGTGAAGGAGAGACAGACAGTAAGCTTGGCGAACTCACTTAGTGAAACATTTTTTATCACCAGGATGGAGGAGACTCAACTATGTTCTGAGTTGGTAAAGGTAAACAGGGAGAGGAAATTGAAAAACAATGTACTAGCGAGAACAGTGTTTTAATAGAAGGTCCCAGAAACGAATGGAAAAAATGGGATCAAAAGCATTAGCCTTCAAAGAAATAAAAACATGTCTCCTTTGAAACAAAAGAAATAGTAGTAAGGAAAAGAAAATACTGTAGGATCTGTGCTGTCCAATAAGGTGGCTATTAGCCACGCTTGGCTATTGAGCACTTTCTGAAATGTGGTTAGTCTGAATTGAGATGTGCTGTGAGCATATCAGGTTTCAGATTTAAAAAATGTAAAACATCTCAATAATCTTCTATATTGATTGTATGTTAAAATAGTACTTTGGATATATTGGGTTAAATAGTTATTAGGACTAATTTTACCTCTTTCTACTTTCAAAAAAATATGTGGCTACTAGAAAATCTGAAATTACTTATGTATGATAAACTACTCTGTGATATTAAAAAAATTACTTATGTGGCTTACATTATACTTCTATTGGACAGCGTTGCAGATGTATATCAAACGATGATTTTACTTACTGTGGGAATACAAATCTTGCTTAAGGGATTTCCATCCAGGAGATATGATCCGTTAAATGTTACATATTCATCATAATACTGAGGTGCTTGAGGAATAACACTGCATAGTAATTTGCGCTTTTCTTCAATTTTTTTCCTTATGTGCAAGTATTCAAAATATGGATTTGCTCTCTCTGAACTGTATGGCTGAATCTCATCTAGTTTCAGAGAATCTACGATGGCTGCCAGAGATTGCTGAGTTTTCTCTTTTGCTTGTAGTAAAGAGGGACTCACTTGCACAGGCTGAGGTACACGCGACACTTTCCTCTTCCGTGGATGGTGAATTTGAGGATCATCTTCTTCAGTTAATCTTATTCTTCCTCTAGGAGATGATGACTCACTGTCTTTTTCTGATAATAGTGTACAGCTAGCAAGAATCTGTTTGCTTTGATTTGCCATTGTACTTGCTTTGTTTCTAGTCATTCTTTGAGGAATTTGGTTTTCAGTTTTATCATCTTCGTTATTTTCTTCTAATTCTACTTTAACTAGTTGACTATATTTATGCATTTCTGGTTGAACTGACTGTTGTGAATTGTTTTCCAGACTTGATACAGTGCTTTGTTGAGATTCTTCATCTTCAATGGAAAGCAAACACTTTTCACTTTCAGAACAATGTTTTGAATTATCTTGTTCATTTAGGTTTCCTTTTGGCATCCCTGCATTCATTTCACATAAATCAGAATCACACCTATTCAAATGAGTTAAAACCAAACTCTCTAGTTTTTCTTTTTCATGTGAAATAACCTGAATATCAGCTGTGCTATTCTCAACCTCATGGCCACTGGAAGACTTGTAAGTTAGTTTGCTAAATGCATAATGTGTATTTAGCTGAGTAGAGGCATCAGTTCCATTAAAGTCCTTTTCTGATGGTAAAGTATTAGTCTTTTCAAAATTTGGTGATACTTCTTGAATAGTGCTTTCAGAATACACTGGGACAAAGGCGTCTGTCTTTTGAACCTCTGGTAGGACAAAAGTATCTTCTGTATCTTTTGTAGATTCATTATCAGTATCTAAAACAGAACTAATAATTTGAGTTGCATTTTTGTGTTGTGAAATACCTGGCTCTTGATTGGCAACATATGACAAAGACGTATGTTTAGAAATAGATTCAGCATCTGTAAGTGATTGGCTGGGGAAAGAGCAAGGCTGCTGTGAAGGAAGAAAGGATGCTGGATCCTGACCACAACAGTTTCCTGGCAGATCAGTCTGGTGCAGGGATAAAAAATCAGTATTTTCTTTCAATATTTTGTTTTCAGGATTACAAAAGCCCTGAACAGAGGAATCTTGATCAGGTGCATTAGAGTTTGGGCAGATTAAGTCTCTGGTGTTTAAGGTCTCCAGTCTATCAACAGGTATCTCCCATGATTTATTTTGGATCACACCAACCTGATTAGATGATTCTAAATGCACAGGACAGTCCACTACAGTGCCCACTGCAACAGTGCTCTTGATAACATTTATATCAGCTGAAACATATTTGTTGCTTACAGATCTAGTTGGAGAGGTTGCAAAACTGGAATGTATGCTAGACACATTTGAATGGTCTCTTTCAGGCACATTTGAGAAAATCTCAGGTTTGGGAGAAGAACAAGTATCTCTTGGCACAGCTAATAAGCTACCTTGATTGCTTTCTTCTGATATTGTCTGGAATTGTTTTGTATGTTCACAAATCACAGATGGCATGCTACATCTTCGAATTTCTACAATAGGTCTCCCCTCATTTATAACTAGTTTAACATCTTCTACAGAAGATGACCTGAGATGGGATGTTGGAAGTCTGTTTGCATATGGTGGTTTAATTCGCTCTGGCAGATCAGCTAGGCTGTCCAATTCCCTTTCATGAAGAGCAGGAGATTTGGCAATTGGCAAAAAAGGTGATTGGGAAAAGGACATTTGGGATTCTGAACCCTCTAACATAAAGTCAGAGTCATACTCAACTGGAGGCCTTGGAGTTGTCACTGTAGTATGGCAGGAATCTTCTGAACTAGCAACAGAAATCATGGATACAGATCTGGAGCTGAGACCCAGCTTTTCAGTTTCTGATCTAGGAGACCTGTTTAAGCTATTATCTGAAACAAAAGATGACTTCCCTAAATTCATTATATTTTTGGTGTCAACAGATTGTGATCTGCTACTTACAGCATCTTTTGGTTGTTTCTCCTTGGTGTATGCATCAGTCAACTCTGAACTCTTTGACCTAGTAAGTTCTTTATTTTTGGGTTCAGCTAATGCATGCTTTGTTTTTTCTTTATCTTTCACTTTAAGTTCTAAACAGTTACGATTTCTCAACCGTTCCTTTTCCTTTTGCTTAATTTTTTCCTTATGTTTTTTATGCCACTGTTCTATTTCTAGGTCTTTAAGGCTTAGCATTCGCTCAAAACTTGTCTGCATTAAATCATCATTCACTAACCTCTTTTCTTTAGGTCGAGTATCCTTTAATGCTGGTGATGACTTAGGTTTAAGCTTATCTGCTTCAGATTTTACTTTGAGTAAACTATTCAGTTGGATCTTATCTTTATGTTTGTCTCGCTCTTTGTACCTATCGATATCCTTATCTTTTTTATCTTTTTCTTTTCCATCTGGAATTTTCAATGGTTCATCTTTTGCTTTTTCTTTAAGGGATAAGGGTTTTTCATGTTGTGCTTTATTACTGTCTACTATACTTGACTTTTTCTCTTCCTGTGTGTGTTTGGAGTTAGTTATATTTATACTTTCTTTATCTCTAGACTTTTCCTTTTTATCTATCTCTCTGTCTTTTTCTTTACTTTTGCCTTTTTCTGATTTATTATACTCACTATTATCTGATTGTTTATTTTTCTTTTCCATCAAGTGTTTTTCTTTGCTTTCTGCTAGATGTCTCTCTTTTTCAGGTTTTTCTTTGTCGTGTTTCCTATCCATTTTTTCCCTACTTTTTTCTCTGTCATCAGTTTTTTTAATAGTAATATTTTTGATCTTCTCACCTTCTTTATGGCATTTCTCTGTGTGATGTGAATATAGCTTGTCCTTTTCTTTTATTCTATCTACACACTCACTAAGATCTAATTTATCTTTTTCTGACTTATGCTCATGTTTTGTCTTCTTCTCTTTCTCAGAATTTTTTCTTTCAGTCTTCTCGACATCCTTTTCCTTAGTTTGAAACCGTTTTTCAGATTTTTCTTTACTCTCTTTTATATGTTTTTCTTGTTTTTCAATGTCTATTTCCTTTTCTGCTGACTGTAGTCCTATAGATTCATCATTGGCACTTATACTCAAAGAACTAAATTCTGTTTCTTTCTCTGTGGGTACATTCTCTCTTTCTTCTTTTAAATCTTTTATTTTTTCTTCCCTATAAGATTTCTCACTTTCCTTTTTAATCTTTTCCCGCTCTTTACAGTTCCTCTCTCTTGGGATATGCTTTTCCTTAGTTGATTTATCATCTTTCATGTTTTTTTCCAATTTTGATTTTTTTTCTAATGTTACGGACTCATGTTCCATATTTAAAAATAAATCTTCAGTTTCATCACTTTTAAAAAAATTCTCTTTCCAAAATTCTCTATCAAATTCTACACTCCTCTGCAGTTCTTTAGCACCATCTTTATTTTTATATTTTTCCTTTTCACCTTCAATTTCTTTTTTATGCTTTTCTTTTTCTCTCTCTTTATGTTTCAACTTATGTTTTTTTAATGTTTTACCCTCTTTATCCATTTTTTTCAGTGTGCAATCTGAATTTTCAAATGTTGGACTATGATCTTCATCCTTTACTTTGGCATTTGATTTTTCACCAAATTCTAAGTGAAAATCTTTCTGATGCTTATTTTTTTCCTTATGTTTACAATATTTTACACTTGAACTTTCTGGCAAGAGTTCAGATTCTGTATTATCAAACCGAACAAGATCAGGCTGTAATGATATTTCAGAACTTCCTGGTGATAAACATGTTTTAGTATGTTCTTGTTTTAGTGGTGTTGATTGTTTTTCACTTAATCCACAAGAATGTTTGGGAGATTTACCAGTGGAAATATGAAATAAGTGTAATGAAGTATCATCTTTTGGGCTAAAAGATTTCCTAAAATTCCCTTCTTCTCTGGTCTTTTCTGGACAATCAAGTGCAGTATTAACTGCCAAGTTTGCTACTCTGGTATTTTCTTTTCCCTCTTTTTCTTGCTTTAGCTCTTGGTTCTCTTTATTTTTATTCTGATTTTTTAATTTTCTTTTAACTTTGCCTTTCTGTTTGTGTTCACTTGAAACTACATATTCCTTTTTGGTTTGTATATCAGAATTTGATGTTTCAGGGGCAGAACATGAAGTAGAAATCTTTTTGTTCTGAAGAACTTCTTCATCAGAACTTTCGGTACTTGAATACAAAACCCTGGATGGCTTTTGTTTTTTACTTTTAAATGATTTAGGATAGAAGGCTTTCTCCTGTTTTGCAAATAAACTATTCTTTTCTGCTTCAGATTCATTCTCTTTTCGTTGTTCTTTCCTAAGAATATGCCTATCATCAATCATTTTATTTATTTCTTCATCATCATCATCTTTGAACTCATACTCATCAAGGGCAGATGGAAGAGGTGCTTTACTGGGAAGTATCTGTTTATTTTCACAGATGAGAGAGTCTTTCTCTGTCTCAGAGTCAATATTTTCATCAACACTAGAAGGATTTACTGACTGAGCCTCTTCAGAATCTAGAATAAGAAAAGAAAATCTGTTGTTGGTCAAAACACAATTGTCAGAAAAATAAGAGAGAAGGAAAGATAGTAACTTACACGATAAATATTTCAAACAATTCAAAATCACTGCAGATTTATAATAGTGCAACAGAAATATTTAAGAACTCTGCAACAGTGTTGTAGAACTATCTGCTTTATGATGAGATACGTTTGACAGTTGCAAAAGCACACAATATATTAAATTCACAATATATAATTAAAAATATGTAATACATATTTAATGTAGATTCATAACCTATAGGTCTGGATTCAGGGAAGACACTACTATAATGTGATATAAAATTCTTCATACATATACATTTTTTCTGGAAAGAGAATATTTAACTTGACTTAGATTCTTTGATCCAAAACAGATCAAGAACCATTAACTGCAAGGGCTTAATTATGTAAACACCATAAATTGTTTTTGTGTGTTTCAGAATATTTATTATTAAAATTGTAAGGGATTGCACGATTTCCATAAAGTATAATAACTTAAAGGTGAATGGTTTAATGGTCATACAAGAAATATGACTATTTATGGGAAAAAACAGAAAAACTAAAATATAACCAATTACCTAAGATTGTAACAAGTAAATTGAATATATAATTTTATAAAAATTGCTGTTTCTTAGTTTTCCTCATCTATAATTTAGACTTGATACTAAAATGATTTAGTACAATGTGGGAAATAATGGGCTCAATTACTATATATTTTTAAGTACATAGAAATCTAATTTTATGATATTGCCTCCAAGTTATTGTATATAGCCACAGCATTGCTGATTTTACTTCATTACTTCTTTTTTTAACAAAATTAATTTTCTTCTTCCCAGGTTAGCATCTTTTCCTACCTGAAATGTTTTATACATGGTGCCTCTAATTGAAAAGAAAACTCAAGACTCTAAGGGAAATGAAAACTGAGGCCTCTAACCAAGAGGGAACCTCCCCAAACTTACTAAAATAATGATAGAGACTTCATTTGCTAAGTATTTAATATTAAAATTATACATTTTAATATATTAAGCTTCCTCTAAAGTAATCTAGCTCCCAAATATTCTCACATGAAAATTCAAATTCCAGGAGGACTTTTGAGCGTCTACAAGGTATTTGGCACTGTAGGAGGATCTTAGAGATCACAATCTTTTCTGGAGATGTGGGAATGTTCTAAGATAGTATCATTACAAAGTGGTAACGGGCATACTTATAACTTTGACTCAAACTGTACAAAAGCGAGTCTGTAGCTAAAACATTGTATCCCCATAATATTGTGGGGAAAAAAACCCTAATGCCCCCAAAACCTCAAAATATACAATCCACAGATCTCACCAGCTTAAAAAAAATTAAGTTGAAAGACACTGTAGTCCCTAAAATGTGCCAATGGGTGATAGTTATTCTGACATAGTATAAAAAACCTTTTTGAAATTATAAATGCTTGTATATATGTTAAAAATACTTTCCATTTAATTACATTTAATAATGTAGAAAAACGTTAAAACATGCTATTACTCAAACAGTAGTGCATCATGTGTGTATTTTTTTGTGTGTGTAGGAAAAAACAAAGGAAACATCAAAATATATCATAAATTCTGGTTAGAGAAATTTTGTGGATGATTTTTATTGTCTTCTTTAAGCTTTTCTCTATTTTCCAAATTCCTAGCACAAAAGATGTATTACTTTTATCATTAGAAAAAATTTTTTTAAATTCACTAGTAGGTATAAAATAGTACCACTATTTGGTTTGAGTTTTTTGATTACTGGTGTGGCTTATTTTTCCACGTGTTTGTATTTCCTTCTGTGTAATGCGACTTTATAATTTCTTCAGTCTGTTTTCTAGTCTTTTATGCCTATGCATATTAATATATTACTTCAATTATACTACACATATAATCTTATGTATGTTTCACTTAACATTCTATCCTAGTGTTTACTAGTTTTGAACATATGCATTAGAGATTCAATGAGAATTCTCTTAAGGAAGTTATACATATATGTATACACTAAGAGATGCATTATCTGTCATTTGTGTTTCTGGTTCACCAACTTGAAATAATGCTCTCCAATGCAGATATACCTTTTTTCTAGTAATTCTTTTTAAAAGATTCCCACGTTTTTAAAAGGAGAGAATATAAATTCTAAAGTAAATAACTTAGCCTGACATTAATGTCTATGATGAGTCCACAGGTGAACTGTCACCTGGCTCTGGGTACCAAGTCACACATGCTCACCAGGGTCCACCCCTCTGCACACTATTTTCTCAGCACTGTCTGCAACAACCCTGTGCTACTTGCAGAGAGGCTGGGAACCTCAGCAAAAACCACTATCGCCATGACACCATTTTCTTGTAGTCCCGGCAGACCCTTTGCTTCCTTAAGCAGCTTCCAATTTTTTCATTTGCTTTAACCACTCAGAAACATAGATCAACGTGGTCCTGGATACTAATGGGACAGTAAATTTTCAAAAAAGGTTTTGCCTTAGTAGATGACTGTTATAGTGGAAAAAAAAAATCACCCCAAACCTCCAAATCCTCAAATTCCTATAAGTCAAAAATGGCCATGGTTATCAGTATACTGTTATTTTCCATTTTATTTCAATTTTTAGTCTCTGATATCTAATCACTAAATTTGAACCTGTATTTAAAACATTTTAGATATTTATGACAAAAACACTCCTTTAAAAAATTTAATGTTTATCATTTCAGTTTATTCTCAATTTTATTTTGGGAAACTAGGAAGGAAAATGAGAAACAGAAAGGTTAAGCAATTGTTAAAACATTAAAATTTTTATTAAAGCATTTTTCTTCTCCATGAAAAAATAAAGATTTATTTATTTGTTATTTGTTTATAAAGAGACAAGGTCTCACTCTCACCTAGGTTGGAGTGAAATGTACTGACCATAGCTAACTGCAGCCTCCTGGGCTCATTGCAATCCCCTGCCTGAACCTCCTGAGTAGGTGGGACAAGTGCATGCCACCATACCTAATTTTTGCTTTTTTTTAAAGAGATGGGGGTCTTACTATGTTGCCCAGACTAAATACAGTTAAATACATTTGAAAGTTGCTCTTGTATATATATCTCAAGGCAAGTTCAGATATTTGCAACTGAGACTGGTGACATTTAAGGAATGGTGAAAATGTTATTTGAGTTCTACTGAGAGCCTAAGAATAACTTAGGCTGAGCCTACCATAAATTTCCATCTTTTCTGTATGGTATCCAAGTGGAGCAGCAATCAAATAGAGGTGTGACCAATGTAGGGAGATACTGGTATATATGTAAATCTCTCCCTAAAAATCTCTCCAAAGTAATAGAGAGGTTTTGATACATACTATCTATTCTCATGTTGGCTTCTGATAAATTGCATTTCACGTGCCTAATGTGAAAGTCAATAGACGATGGGCTTTTAAAAATATGTGAATCACATTAACAATCACGTTTTTAGAAAACAATTATTCTATTTGTGTCACATATATTTCAGGAGTGGGTGGTGATACAAAATTAAATATACCATGACTTTAAACTTAAAGAGCTTATAGTAAAGACCAGGTCTCTACCTCCCACCTTTGCTCTGAAATTCAAATGACTAACCTGGAACTTCCTAGACTTCTTTCAACTACTTCCAAACCAAGACTGAAAATATTCAACTCATTACTTTCCCTTCCACCAGTGCTTTCTCTTGCTGCTTAAAGCCAGTATTCCTTACCTGTGTGGTGTAACAACCAATCTGGTTATTCAAATAAAAAATCTCAGTGTCACTTCAACTCTTTCTCAATTCTTCAACTTCCAAATTCGAAGTTTCAATCTCTGGACTATCTTTTAAATTCATCTTCTCTCTATTCCTACTACTACTGTCCCAGCTCCAGCTCTCAACACTTCTTGCCTAGATCAGTAACTACATTAAACCACAATGTTCCCAGCACTATTGATCATATTATGTCTGTTATCTGAGGGCTCCCACTGTAGGATAACATAAAAACTCCAGAGATGGGGGAAGACTTTTCAAAGTCTGGACCACCATCTCTGCTACTACCACTCTTTAATAAGCTCTATCATTTGCTAGGCAAATAATATTTGATCTTTACAACAGCCATTATCATCTCCATTTAAGAGACAACAGAGCCATTAAGTAGCTTTTCCAAGGTCACCTATTAAGGGAGATAGCCCAGGGTGTTTTTTTTGTCTGACTTCATAGTATGTTCTACATTCCTCCCCTTTTTCACTGTTCCTTGCTGCATATATTAGCTGCACCAGTATACTACTTCTGTTCCACAAACTTCCATGAATATTCATGTGGATTCTGATCAGTTGCTCTTTATTATTTTCCATCTGCTTAACTAGAAGACATTTTAGATTAGTGGCCAGGGAGAGAAGCAGTTAAAGAATTTATATATAGGACAAGATTAAAAGTAGTAAACTGTTGTGGGGGGATGAGGGGAAGGGCACTTGTCTAGAGAATGTATTTGCACTGGAATTTACTTAGATCATATGTTTATTTGGAGTGGGTTGGAATGAGATAAAGTTAAGCTCCCAGACACCTCCTGGAAACACCACTGGTTTGGAACTACTCCACAAAGTATGCATTTTTTATGTTATCCTGATCATTGGGATATAGGAAGTCAAATACTGTCCATTTTCCTGAAAAGACAAGGGGCAAAGGGAAGGTTATCCACTCCTCAATATAACCAATGCATTTGACACAATCTAGATGAATGTTTAGACACACAATACATACACACGATTGAGCTTCCTTATAAACTTAAAAGTATACTACTTTATTAACAGCACCTGCCTAAATCTATAGCACTCAGAGAATGAGAAACTTTCATATTTTATATATGTACGGTGGAGGATGGGGTGGGTGGGTGGGTGTGAGTGTGGTCACTGAGGGAAAAAAAGGTCTATTTATGGAATCTGAGTCTTTGGGGGGAAAGGTAATATCCACCCAGGTAGCTGTTAATTTTCTGCTTCTGTTTTCTACAT